CTCTCTCTCTCTCTCTCTCTCTCTCTCTCTTTTAGTATTCTTACTTTTATTAGATATCCCGATAGATACGAAACAGAGTCTCCAGTGAGCAACTTTCTTTCGTCGAATAACATAGAGAATCGATATCTACGATCACTAGTTTTTTCTACTTCAACCTTATATACAACACATACACATATATAAATACACACTTATAACTAAAGAAATATTCTGTAGAATTTTTAAATGGAAAATATTACAATGTACATATTTATGATTATAAACACACGTACGTTCTTACTTATACACATTTAAAAAAAGATACAAAAGATACATTTGTTATCTTTTTATAAGTTTCTTTTTCTCTCGTTAACGTTAAACTATAGAACAAGAATTCAAGTTCTCTCTCTCTCTCTCTCTCTCTCTCTCTACCTTTCTTGGTTAATAATAAAAATAATAATAAAAATAATAATAGAAAAATTCTTGGTAGCAACGGAGACAAAGTGGGCGACACTAATGTCAGACACGTAAGTGGGGAAGGTCGTTCGTATCTCGGGCGAGGTTTCAAAACAAGGTTTTTCCTTTTACTTTCGTTGTTCCTCTAGCGTTAAATGTAAAAGAAGTCTAAGAGGAGGAGGAGGAGGAGGGGGAGGAGGTACTGTAATGTTGCAATATTATCACGAGACGCGAACAACGCTTTTCTTTTTTCCACTTTACCGAGTTCATAAATCTTTCAAGTTACATCAAAACGTTGAAGGATCTCATTGTCAGTCGATGATGCATTAAAAAAAAAATAACGGAAAAAAAATGAGAGAAAAAATTGAAAGAAAGAACCGGTTGAACGAGTATCATAAGTGTCATCGTACACGTGGGATCTTAATTGCTACCGCATTCTTTTTTTCATTTTATTTGTTTGTTTGTTTGTTTTTTGTGTTTTTTTTTTTTTTATTCTGTTTCTTTTATTCTCTTCTCTGTTTTTTTTTTTTTAATTTTAACAAAATTCACGTATTTTTATGTTAATTCGTTGAACAAACATGATGATGCTGTAAGAAAAAAATAATAATATACCGAATTGAAGTGAATGATGTCATACCTTGATTTTGCACGTTTACTTCATTAATAAATCACTTATGCAAAAAAAAAAGAGAAATATGAATGACGTATTCAATGGAATAATCCAGGAAAAGTAATGGTCAAGCGTGATAATTAAGTGTTTCGTTATTCTCGAATAAGGAAACTTAGTTTAGTTTATCCCCATTCAATATTTGTTACAATAATCGTGTTCGTTAAGCAAGAAAAGTCATAATTTTTATTCCGATCAGGTATCACTTCTATAGTAAACATCGTTAAATGAAATGTTTCTATAGTATCAATAAAGTGGTATGACTTTTAATTAAATCATGCAAATATTTACCGTGATAAGTTTTAATAAAGAAGAATTTTTTTTTATTCTCCTTGAGTTTATTTGCATTTTCAATCGAGTTTCAATCCTTTTTTATTTTCCATTATCCATTTAAACACCTTCTTTTTTCTTTCTTTTTTTTTTTTTATTATCATCATTAACTTAACGGTTTGATATCTCATATCGCACGTCTCATCATTCCGTTATTTCTTGATAAATATTACAAAAGTAATAAAATTCCTAACGTTATCTGAATTTAAAAAATAGAAACAACATCCTTGAAATCCGTCTCCTTTATTTTTCTTTTTTTTTTAACTTCCCATTAAATCTTCTTAATATTTAAACGGCAAAATAAAATGATTATTTGAAAAAGAATATTTCAATATTTTATTTTAACGATTATATAGTCCGAAGAAGAATTTGTAAGAAATGTTGTCAGGTACTAAAGTAAATGAAAAACTATCGAAAAAAAAATGATTTTCTATGACGTTGAAAAACAGGTTGCCAAGTACGTCAATGAAATAGACGACGGGATGAGTTTCTCTCTTGGTTTTTCCTGCATTTCGTTTCGTGAAAGTTTTAAAATCGTTATATGCATTTTATCAGGTTATCACGTGAAATTTTGATCGAATTTTAATGAAAATTTTAATAACAAGGAAAAAAGGAAAGAAATTTAAAATTCGTATAAAAATCTAAATTTGATAAATAATGTTTGATGTTAGTATATACAAACTTTATGTTGAACTGTTATGCAGTTATCTTATTTAAACTGGGTTATTCCATCCCGGGAGAATTCGTAGGACGTTGACCGAACCTACAGAAAGGTTCAAGGACAGATCGATTTCGTTCGAGTTTAAAAGAACGAAAGAATTTGCAATTCTACATTACATCGAAACATTCGATGTAAATAAAAAATATGCAAAAATCAAAGAATATTTCGAAGAACAAAATTATGATTCACGATGAGAAGATTAATTGATTTACACCATTTAGATGACGTAAAATGTCTTAGTGATATTTTTGTAGGAATAAAAATGGAAAAAGAAATAAACAACCAATAACTGGTTGTTTCAACGAAACGATCGGATTTCTGAATCGAATCTTAGAAAAGAAGAAAAACAGAGAGAGAGAGAGAGAGAGAGAGAGAGAGAAAGAGAGAGAGGAATCTGCTAGGATTCAAGGTTGTGGCGAGGAAGATAAAAAATGGGTAAAACAAGTGGCAGACGAGCAAACACGCGATCAAGAAAGCCGGTTTAGTTCGGTGAATCGAAGGAATTCCTGACTGGGTCGAGTTGCAATTAAATCGGGGGAAAAAAAAAAGGGAATTTGTCAGATGACAATCGGGTTCCACTTATTCCAGTTGTTTCGAAGAAAATCGAGAGGAAAATACTTGCAATCGAAAATAAATAATACGAAAAGATGGCTTTGGTTTAACTGAGAATCGACTAGCTGTCATGTGTGTTTTTGTGTATGTGTGTGTGGCGCCAAATGAGAAGAGGGGATTCCAATAAAAAATACGTGTAGTAACACGTATATGTTCTTGAAGTGGGCAGACCGCGTTCGGCAGCTCTCAGTTTCCTCTCTGTGGTTCATTCGATAATGACACTGAAACCGATATTGGTGAATCGCGCGAATAGCATCCTGACACGCCTATTCGCATTCTATTACTAATTGCTTGAAAGAGAGTGTGCGTATTTGTTATAGTGTATATTCCACCCCGCAGTGTTCAAAACTAATCGTTTGTTACTTTCGATTTTACTCCAAAAAAAAAAAAAAAGACAAAAATCAATCGTACTCGTGAAAAAAAAACCAATCTATTTATTTTCATTTCAAACAAGGAACCAATTTCATCATGGAAGATACTAACGAAGAAAGTTTCTTCATTAAAACCTTACAAAGGTGTTACTCTTATTTTTATTTTTAAAATATTGAAATTAGATTTAGAATATAGAATTAAAATTTTGTCCTTTTCTTTTTTATGTTTTATTTTTTTTTTATTTAAGTAAATAAATAAATAATGTTTTTCTTAAACGTGAATAAAAATGCTAGTGTAAAGTGTCGATAAATATAATCTCAATGAAATAGGAAAAGGTCGTGGAACGACGTCTTTAACCCTATGGGATTTATTTTCCCTAAACCATTCGTAGTGATTTAAATCTTTCCTCGTTGTGTCAAAAAGTTTCACGGACGGAAATCTCATCGTAGCAAAGGATTTATGAGTTTTATCTCATGAACGGGAGGAGATTGCACGACCGAGTTAACCGTCCTACAAGAAATCGGTTTATCGACACCTGTTAGATAATCTTTTCAATTTAACAACACATGTTAAATAATCATTTTCTGCATCGATAAATCGTGTTTATAAATTATTATTGAACGATACAAAACAAGTTTTCAAACATTCCCGTTAAAATATTTCAACGTTTATCTATCCAATATTTTTTCCATAGAAATTTATTTAAATGAAGTATATATATATATTGGAGGTATATTAAATATACTTTTGACGACGATTATAAATCCATTAATAGTGTCTCTAACGTTATTCCTACTTCATTCTAAAACCCAAATTTTGAAGTAATTACACGTGCTTCAGCACACAAAGGATCCAATTATTAAACTTGTAATCAGATTCGATAGACCGTGAACATTACCAGGAATCAAGTACCTTTACGCTTCGTTTGATCAGATATCAATAATATTAAGTATTATATAATATAATATATATATATATATATATATATATATATGAATAATTATAAAGATATTATATATATAAATTTATCAAGGAAAGATTAATCATAGAAAAAACGTGATAAAACCTATGACAAAGAATTCATTAAAGTGATCATAAAGTTTCTTTTTTTTTTCTAAATGATTCATTTTTCTATTTATTTTTCTTTTCATTCAACAAGTTTAACCAATTTGAATTACAAATAAATATCATCCTAATTTCACAATTTAAGTTATTACATTAAATTACTTTTTGTTATTGGTATTGTGTCTAAGTAGTTGTTTCTTTGTTTTTTCATTTTTCTAAATTTAACGATGAGCTTTAAACAAAAAGATGAAGAAACCATTTTTGACAAAATAATTAAAATAGAAACAAAAGAATTCGATTAAAACTTGTTAACGAGAAATTTGAAGGATTTTTTTTTTTTACTTACGTTAATGCCGATTGATTAAAAAAAAAAAAAGCATTGATGAAACTTAGAAAAAAAAATACAACTCTCGTTATATAATAAAAAGGTGGAAAAGAGAGAAGGAAAAAAGAAAAAGAATGAATGAGTTGACTTTCGTAGAATAATTGAAATGCAAAAGTGACTCTTATCGAGTCAGATGCACGCGATACGATGCAGTTTGTCGGAGAATCTCGATAGACGGGTTTGATTAACGTACAACGACCTCAAAGTTAATCGTTTTGTTGTAATGTTATGTTAAAATCGATGTAACACACTTGTTTTTTCTTTTTTTTTTTTGTCTTTCATATAATTTATTATCAAAGAATTTTTATTAGCCTTCCATATTAAAAAATGATCAATTTGTTAAATATTAATTAATTATTATATATTATTATTATGTTAAATTAATTTCAAAATAATTTTAAGTAGTCCCAAAAGTTTCTTCTTTTCTTTTTTCTTTTTTTTTTTAAATAATTTTATTCGCATAATATTTTTTATATTATTTTACTAAATAATATCAATTCTTATTATCATAATATTTTTTTTCTTTACTGTATATTATTCAACATAAAAAATATTGTGCGTGTAAAATTATTTAAAAAAAAAAAATAAATAAAAAAAAGAAGAAGAAACTTTTGGGACGACCTAACATTAAGCTGAAATTAATTTAACATAACATAATAATAATAATAATAATATATTATTATTATTATTATATATGTAATAATACTACTATAATATAATAATTAATATATATAATTATAATATATAATAATAAATATTAATTATTATTATGTATAAATTATTATATATAATAATTAATTAAGATTTAACAAATTGATCATTTTTTGACTTACAATTCAAAAATTAATTCAACTAATCCCTTGTAATGAATTCTATTGTGTAATTTGTCCTAAAAACAAAAAATAATTACGTTATTTTGTGATAGGATAATTAACGATAGAAACCATTAGCCTGTTTTTTTTTCTTATCCTAGATAAAATTCAATGGTTTTTTTAAAGCCCGTATACAATGTAACTTAACTATTTAGACCTTGTCATTACCCGTATATAAATACGTTCATTTTCGTTTATCCACAGTTATTTAAACAAAATTCATCGAACCTTCCTGAACTTTTAAGTCAAAAAAAAAAAAAAATATAGAACACCTTTTTTTTTTTTTATTACGTCTCGTATATAAATCGTCGATTCTCGTACAAATCTAAAAAGATGTCTTTTACATTATTAATTAGAAATAATCGGAAATAATGAACGATAAATTTTTTTAATGGAAAAAACAAATAACAAAAGAAGATTAACAAATAAAAACAATAATAATTCTTAGTGTATTTTTAATTTCTTTTACTTTTAAAAAAAAATAAATGATCAATCGCAACGCGTATTTGTTTCCTAATATTTACTTAAAAAATAAACCCATAAAAAAACACACACAGAACGACGAACAACAACTAAATAATCAAATTGATTTTAAATTTGTTTTATCTGTTGTCTTTCAAAAGAAAAATAACCGACATTAATAAAAATATGTTAGAATCAAAAAAAAATATATATATATAATTACTTAAAAAAAAAAAGAAAATGGAAAAAAGATCGAGGAAAAAATGGCGTTTTAATGCCGTTTATTGTGGGATATAAATAGGTGTTAGTGAAAGTGAATCATCGTGACAAATAAGTCCGAGGTAAGGAACACACGTTTCGGTTCAGGTATCTTATTAGTTTGTGCATTATATCGTTAGCTGTAAACTGCTACTTGTAGAGAGAAAGAGAAAGAAAGAGAGAGAGAGAGAAGTACTTTGTTAATAATCTCTCTCTCTCTCTCTCTCTCTCACACACACACACACACTCAAAATCATTCTGGTTCATATAAACACGCGTACATTCACGTAGGAACGTTGGCATCTTTCGAAAGATTGCAGATTCATGCACGAATGGTATGCGTGCTGAGATCATAGCGTTTACATATATGTGAAACCATATCGTGCATAGAGGTTCCTCAACCTACTAGAAGGAAATATACGTGGTGGCGTAGAATCGAGTTAGGATCCTAGTTGGCTCATCTCCGTAATTTCTCTTTCTCTCTCTCTATCTCTATCTTTATCTCTATCACTATCTGTATCTCACACATATAGACAGACATACACATAGATACACAGAGACACGTTTCGAGAGTCGACAGACACAATTCGCATACATAATACTCGTGACACGCGTAACGAATAATTTCACTGTGTTTTGGACGGTTCTTTCCTCTTACCATACACGTTGTTAATTCCCATATGCATAAAGTACTCGTAAAGGAATTTGTAAATACGATTAATTAATCATACTTGATAACTTGAAAAATATGTATACGTATTTATTTATTTATTTATTTAAAGCGAGTTAGGTTGAGGGGGAAGGAGGTTGATAATAACAACTCGTGCAAACTTTATCAAGAGGATATATTGTTCGTTCAGTTTTTTCATTGTTCAAAGGGATTATCGTTATAATCAAGTTTTCCTATATGATGACCTCGTTGATTTAAAAAAAAAAAAAGAAGAAAAAAAAGAAAAAATGCTTAATAACCACGAGGAACATGAATTTCTAACGAGTCGTTAGATAATTATTAAATTGTTTTTAAGTTTAACTTCGATATTGTATGACCTCGATTTATGTTTCCTCGATTGGTTTTTATGAGTTTCGTTGAAAATGTTATTTAAAAAAATTTAAGTTAGTTAATAGGCTTAGTAAAAAACTCGAACAAAAAGATAAAAAAGTAAATAATAATAATATTATAACATAAATCGAAATAATTAAAACTGAATAAAGATTAAGAATTGATTGATATGTTATTTTATCGTATTGTTTTATTTCCCTTCTTTTTTTTTTTTTTTTTTTTTTTTTTTTTTTTTTTTTTTTTTTTTTTATAGACTACGTAGATACAAATTATCTCCTACCAAGGAACATTATTGTTTCGATAAAAATACGAAAGAAATCAAAGAAGAGGATGCTTCACNTTTTTTTTTTTTTTTTTTTGTTTAATTTTAATTTTGATTTATTTTTATAGACTACGTAGATACAAATTATCTCCTACCAAGGAACATTATTGTTTCGATAAAAATACGAAAGAAATCAAAGAAGAGGATGCTTCACGTTGTTTTCTTGATAACGAAAAAGTGGTCAGGGTCGTCCCTGCGACACTGGATAAAACAAATCAAGGAATACAACAGGAAATTACGATTCCAATCGAATCATTCGAAGTACCACCGATAGGAAGAATGATGGGTGGCGAGATGTTTCGACAAATTTTGATCGGAGTAGTTTGTGAGTAAACGACACGATAATAGGAATTTATTTTTGTACGAATATCAACGATAGTAAGAGAAACAATATCTAAAAAAGATTTTCTGAAGAATTCTATTAGATTTTTTCTATATAATTTTCATTTAGGCAATCTACTGATCACCGATAGTGGATTTCAAGAAGGTTGGAGTACACCAACAATACCAAAATTCATCTCCAATGAAGATCCATTGACAGTGACCAGCGATCAAATAGCATGGATCGTAAATTTGCTTTACGTTGGCGTCGGTATCGGTTCATTGATCCCATTTATTTTGATGAATCGTATCGGTCGTAAGAAAACTTTGTTATTAGCCGCATTACCAAAAATCATTAGTTGGATTTTAATCGGCATTGCAACGGACCAAACTACTATCTACTGTGGTAGAATATTAGCCGGTATTGGTTGCGGTATTTCTTATTCCGTATTACCGATGTATCTCGGTGAGATAAGCAGCAAACGTACACGTGGTCTCTTAGGAACTATGATGGCTGTTAACATGAACATTGGAATGTTATTTATATTCACAGTTGGTCTATGGATTTCACGATATATGATGTCTATGATAGCTATGACCATACCAATCTTATTCGTAATAATGTTTGCTTGGTTACCAGAGAGTTCGGTATTCTTAACTCAACGAAATCAATTAACCTCGGCTAAGAAAACTTTGAGATGGGCATTGGGAAAGGATAACGTTGAGGAAGAATTGGAAGAAATTAAGAGAATATTAATAACCGAGGATACTTCGAGAAAATTAACGTTTTACGATATTATCAAGGAAATGTGTAAGAAGAAAGAAAATAAACGAGGATTTGGAATAATTTTAATTTTAAGCAGTGCACTGACACTAACCGGTGGTGCACCGATATTGGCTTACCAATCAGAAATCTTTGAAAAAGCTAACTTTACTGTGTCCACGAATTTGAGTATTATCGTAACCGGTTGTGCATTGGTCTTTGCAGGATTTGCTTGTATCCTATTGGTTCATATTACTGGAAAAAGAATATTACTATTGATCTCAGCACCTGTTTGTTTTCTCGCGTTATTTAGTTTATCTTCATTCTTCACTTTCCTTTCTGCTGGTTACGACGTTTCAAGATTCAATTGGGTACCATCGGTATTCGTGATGACATTTGTTCTAAGTTACGGATTGGCATTGAATCCAATGCCTTTGGCTTATCTAGGTGAAATCTTTCCTTTCGAAATGAAAAGAGCTGCCGCAATATTTGCCTCGCTTTATTACGCTGGAACTACAACGGTGATTGTTAAATTTTATCAGGTACGTAAATACGATTATAGCCACATTTAATTATTTGCTCTATTTTTCGTAACATTGGGATAAGAAGAAATTTCGTAAACTAAAAAACCTTTAATCCCTATCTTTTCTCGTGATAACTATAAGATTAATCGTAAATTTTTATAATGATTAAGACACAGCAAATGAAACTTTATAATTTTAACAAACATGAAAATTATTTTTTCGCAAATATTTCAAAGTATTTATTCAACGTGTTAATTTAATATTCTTCAATTGTAATAAGATTTTATAAGATTTTATATTGGTTGTAATATCACTATCGACATCTACTTATCTAAATTATACGTAATTGTTTTCTTAACACGTAGGTACACGTGTATATACATGCTTACTTACCGTATCAGCGATTCATGCTGTGCTATGGGTGTTTTTGTGTTATGCAATGTTATACTCGCTAGATATTAACGCTATACATATTACACATGCATACACGTAATACAGTTTCATATGAAATAACAATAAAGAAGGGATATTACTATTAAATTCGAATTTATGATATAGTCGAATAACAATGTTTATAATTAAATATTTTTCTATTTATATGTTTATTATAATTATTCTCAGATAACGCAAGATTTATATGGTATCCATGTACCCATGTGGATTTTTACCGCGATAACTGTGTTACTATGGATTCTTATCTATTACTTCGTACCTGAGACGGAAGGGAAAACAGTGGAGGAAATATTGTTGGATTTGAAGAATAAAAAATAATCTTAAAAAAAAAAAAAAGAAATTAATTCGTCTATTAAAATTCCTATATCTCTAACTTTTTCATTCTCTTTACTCATACTTGTACATAAATAATAATAAAAATAATAATAATATTAATGAGTCACACATACGCGAGACGAATCTAAAATTAAAAAAAGTACAAAAAGAAAAAGAATGGATTGGAAATATTCAAGAAAATAAAACATATGCCAATTAGAAGCGTGCCATTATAAAAAAAAAAAAAAAAACACACAATCTAGTCAATTAATTATACCGGAAATGTTATAGTGTAAAAAAACAATCCTTATAATTATTATCAGCTTCGGATCATTCATCCTTCGAGAAGTTCAAACAAGTTTTTTTTTCCCCTCCCGTTATAAATCGCAATAGTATAACAATAATAAATGATACGTGTAATTATATAATATCATTATATTGTTTAATGGCAGTTACGAGAGAAGATATTTAATCGTCGAACCAGAATAAATAAATTTTTATTCAAATCTTAAATTATCTTAAATACAACCTATAATCATCATCATCATATCATCATCATACTCTTTTAAAATAATAGCTAATCGAATTTTACCATCTGTGCACATTTTTTTTTATTCAAAAAATATTAAAAATTAATCCTCGATCAACCCTCAATTCCACCCACCACCACATTCTACCCCCATTCCTATTATCTTTTTTTTCTTCGATAAATGAACGTTTAATCGTGACGTACAAATCGATAAGAGGTAAATAATGTTTAAAACAATTATGCCAATCGTTGAGCTCGCTCGTGTGAATCATAGTCTATAAATTCGAATAATTATTCAAATTGATGGCACACCTGAGATCGAGTAAATATCATTGTGTTTTTTTTTTTTTTTATATACCATACTAATTAGAAATTAACGTTAAAGCGTTAAGATAAATAATTGGTGTCGTAGTTAATCGGATCTTTTTGAAAAATGTTAATAAGTAATACTAATTGATTACAGTGTAAAATTAATTATAATTTACATTATTATTTTGTTTTATATTTTTCTATTATATTTCAAATCGTGAGATGATATTTACACGGGTTATGCATAAAGGATCGTTACAAAAGCATTTTCCTAGCATTTCTCGTAGAAATGTTGCAGTTCGTGAGGTGTCTGTATATACAATATATGTGCATGTGTTTAGATATATATATATGTAGATAAACTTAGGCGCGCACGTTTGCAAAGGGGAAGATGCACTCAACCTACGACAAGATCAAGATTGATAGACTACGAGTTGCAACATATACGAAGGCTTCCACTTAGCAGTGCATTATCCGAATGAGAACGTCTACGGCCTGGATCTTAGCTAATGCAACGCCTGCAATCCGAGTAATGGCAACCACTTATCTACAAAGAAACAACGAGTAACTCGTGTTAAACGTCAATTTAATGTCCCCGGCATATCATCCGTTTCTAAGCATTTAAAGGAAATTATTTTCTTTTTATTTTTTTATTTTTTTTTTTCTGATACAAATCAAACATTATTTTGTGTTTGATTATATTCTAATCATTTATTTAAATCGACACAATTCAAGATTCTTTTATTATTCAATTTATTTTTCTTTTTTTATTTTGTATTTTTTTCTTCAAGGATTAAACGATGTGTAAACTTTCAAAGAAAATGTGCATGGATATTAAGTGTAAAGAAAAACCGTAAATCATTTTTTTATTTTTTTTAAAGTATGATAAAAATGTAAAATAAGTTCCATTAAATATTTAATTATTTTAGGCAGATTTAAAATCAAACCTGATTTTTTAGGGAACATTTTTTAAATTCTTTCATCGAATTCATTTAATGAATGAATATTTGAAAATTAAATGAGCACTAACGAAAATTTAATATTAAAAATAAATTTCATTACTTTAACGAATGGTATGTAATAATCTTTGTCGGACCCCATACGAAGTCGTAGAAAAATGTGAGCATAAAATTTAAAAATCCTGAAATTCATAAAGACAATTAAATTAATTACAAATATGTCCATTGTCCGTTGTGTTTATGATAATGAAAAAGAACTATGTTAGTATAGAAAAGTCAATACGAATACAAATTGTGAAAAATATTTTTCTCTCAGGACAAAGAGGATTCCACCAACCAACAAGTGGAAAAGTTTGAAAAGCTTTTAGTATTTACAATACTAAGTGTTGGTTGAATTTTGTATACTACTTGGTGGAAAAAAAAAAAAGTAAAATGTTTGATTATACCTTAGTATTTATTTAATATATGCAAATTGTTTTCTTTCCTTTAAAAATTAATCTCATAGAAAAATGATGTTTCTTTTTGGATAAAATACAAATTTTTTTATTTTATTGTATGTGGGTAAGTTTACATAAAACATATTCATATACACGTTGTTGTTGTTGTTGTTGTTGTTGAATTTTGGTTAGTCTGTGGCAAACTATTCGCAGTCTGCTTGTTAGAATACCATCGTATTCCGGCTGTTACATTATTCACCTTAGTCGTGTAATTAGGAAGCTGGAGACAAGTATATCAGCACTCGTGTCTAGCCCAAGATCTTACGTATGTTTATACTCAAGAAACAACCAACCTCCTTCTCTCATCTGTAATACACCATGCTTACGTGATTTTCTTACGAATAATTTATTAATACCTACTCGATTTATCATTCAATTTTCATCAAAATTTCAACGTATTTAAGTACATTTAACATAGAAAAATATTTAAAATTTTTAAAAATCTTTTCTTAAATGAACACCGACTTTAAAAAAGAACAAAAAACATTGTCTCTATTAACGTGTGATATATTATTAATATTTTAATATGAGTATCAAAAATGAAATCATTAAATATTTGCAAATTACATTAATAATTTGTTGTTATTTATTTAATTTATAATTTATTATAATTTATTTAAAATTATAATAAAATTGAATATACATTTATAATCTTATCACTGATAAAATTATTCTAATCGTATAGCACGTTATCAAATATTTTTTTTTATAAACAACATGTCTTCAATGAAGTTTCTATCAGAAATAAAAGAATTAAGCCTCGTTTGCGTATTCTTTTTAAAAAGAAAGAGATAGATGAAGAGAAAAAAAGAAAAATAGAAAGAGAGAGAGAGAGAGAGTAAAAAAAAAATTAAAAAAAAAATAGATAAAAGGTTCGCTTCTAGACGCGTAACACATGCCGATAATGAATTACCCAGTGTTGCAGATCAAATAATCTCCGCAAAGGTGTTCACGCTAGTTTGGATAAAACGTGTGTGACTAAAAAGGTAGTCGACCTCATCTACCGACCATCCTTTACCCCCCACCCTTAAACCCCTCCCCCACTTCATCCCTTTTCTCTTTGTGGATCACGCAGATTGCAGGAATTTTCTATGTTCGGTGATCGAACGGTAACCGTTCTATATGGTTCTGTCTCTGCGTGTAGATGTGTGTGTGTGTATGTGTATGTGTGTAGGATGGGTGAGTGAATGTATCGGCTCGACAGAATGATTTTAAATCGATCGGGGTTTGTCTGGCTTTTACACGAGCACATCATCGGAACAGGGGGTTCGAACTACGACGACGACGACAACGACAACGGCACCAATGATATCCGACAACGCTCTGTTGCGGAATTTTCATCGGATTATCCGTACAACCCGTTAGATCTTTCGCGTATGACTTATTAAAGCGTGAAAATAATTCCCACAGTCTTTGAAGATGATGAAAGGAGAATATAATAAAACAGAAAGAAAGAAAGAAAGAAATTTCTTATGTAACATTGGAGAGCATTGAACTCGAACAATAGGGTACGTTCGATACTCTTTACGGATATAATAAATAAATTAATTAATAAATAATTGAATAATAATAATAATAGGTATGTATATATATATATATATATAGAAATAAATTTCTTTTTCCTTTTTTTTTGTATTTCTTCTTATTCTTCTTCTTTTTATTTTTCTTCTTTGTCTACAATTTCCAACTAATTTTAATTAGATGAAACCTCATCCCTCTCCAATGATATTCCTACAGTTCTCGAAACTTTTTTATTGTTGTTTATATATATAAAATGGGATAAAAGGTAGAATCCATATAGATGATGGTTGCGTTAAATCAGTCTCGAGATTACCTTTTACCTATCGTTTGATCTTGAATTTTTTTCTTTTTTTTTTTTTCCCCTCCTCTCTTCTATAGCAAAATATTCAATCGATCGTTCTGGTATGCTTCGTGCCTTTGGTAAAGAGCAAAGATTTAAAAGGGCAACCGTCTATGGTAATAATTTAACGTGTATCGGCATTCGAATAGAATTTATATATACTTTCCTTTATGTGTCAGTATCAACGATATTATTTTCTCTTTGTGTATATTAACTTAGCTAGACAATCTAATAACATTACGTATTTATTGTTATATAAATAGAAATTATTATTGTTTTTTATTTCTATTGAAAATATACTTTTCATTTTTTTATTTTTTTAATATTAAATCATATTATAATAAGAATACGATTGAAATAAAAAAAAATAATTAATGATAAGAATATAGATAAAGTGTGTAGGACAAAATTAAAATTATTTATTTGGGTGTATTACAGTTTCTTTTTAAAATAATTGTAATAAAAAATATGAATTTTGTAAAGGATATGTTTGAGCATTTTTCAAATAAATTTATTCAAACAAAATTGATATTTTTGTATGCAATTATTCGTTTAAAATACTATAAAATACTTTAAAATATTATATGCAATATACTTTTTACGCAATAATTCGTTTAAAACACTAACACTACATTTTTTGAGGAAAAAGTATTGAATTAGCTAAACCGAAATAGAAATAAGTGGATTATTTAAATGAATATTATACTTGTCATAAAAATATCCTATAACTTACACTTTGTTTAGATAACGATTCGTTCAAATATAATATTCATAATTGTTTTATGCAATAATTTATTTAAAACGCGTAATTTAAAAAAATAAAGAAAATGCAAAAATAACAAAAAAAAAAGAAACTATTAATAAAC